GTATTATGATATGTTGTGAACCGGTGATGCTGGGCTGTTGCCCGTGGACAGCGCTTAGCCTTGATATTAACAATGTCATGCTTTTTGGTGCATCTAGATTGGTTGAATTGGTGTTCTTTTCTCAGTTGACGCTATGTTTGCAGATATCGCCTTCAAACGGTATCGATGAAAAAGCAAAGGCAGAATGTGGTGCGTTGGATTCAACTTGTTTGTCCGGCAAAAAAGAGGTGGGAGGTAGAGGTGAGACTGGTGTGCTGAGCAGAGGTCGCAAGAAGCGGTACCTGAGGGGTCAAATTCTCGCCATCCGAAAAGCATTTTCGGAGGAGCAGTGGTTGCAGTACGCGAAAGCGCTCTATGGTGACGCACTTAAAAGTCAACCATTCAAAAAATGCGAGATCGTAAAAGTAAGTGTGTTTTTTTCCGAAATTTTCCTGGTCTGATTTCTGCCATCCTCATCATGCTGTGTATCATTTGTATAATAACAAATGAAGCTATAATACAATGAAATACAAATTTGTGGATGATATGATTAGACAAAGGACCGCAAATTACCACCGCACATCTACCACAACCTCGACATTCCCGCTTGGAATGACTAATTTTGTCTGGGCTTCCATGGCCCTTTCTTTTTTTCCGATTTAATTAGTGTAGCGGCAGCTGTTGATATTTCGTGAGGACAGTTAGTCGTTTCGGCATCTGTTTATGTGATTCAGGGAAACTGTTTTTGGAATTGCAATAGGTCGATTTTCCTTAGAATCTTAAATGTTCGGTGCTTGTTATAATATGAACAAATATATCCTGCCATCATACTTCAGAAGCTGCTTTTGGAGGAAAGGATATCAGAAATGTGTAAGTTTAAAGCATTCATCTTCTTATTGTTAAGAAAAGGGCTAGCATTCGATTGCATTCAATCGCCTTTTCTTATCAGAAGATGAGAACCTTAAACTTTTCGGAATTGTATGGTAGCCAACAGTGACAATAATTTGGTTGTTGCTTTGACCAGCCTTTGTTTCATCGTTGTGTATTGTGACGACACGTCTCTAATTTGATTTCTTTTAGGAATCAACGAGTGATATGCCGAAAACAAAAAAGATAGGAAAATGTGTCATACAAACAAAGAAACAGAATGAGCAAAAATCGTACGAAATGAAGCAGAACAAAGCACCGCTTCTGGCTTCTGTTCGTTTATTGATGGTTTTCTTTTTTCTGCACATTTTAAAAAATGATCTTTACTGTTTACATGTATCCTTTAGAAAGAAAAGAACTTAATGTACCTGAGATAAAGGGAGCGGTATGAAAAACTTTGTAGGTGTGTTGACGAGGCCCAGTACTTCACAATCTTCCTCACACCACTCCCTCTGTAAGAACGCAGGATGTGCTTTGTCGTGCCTTCTTACGGCACAGAATTTAGTTTTCATTTTTATGCACTAATTCGCAATTCTTTTAGTGTATCACATGAAGTAGCTTAAAAGTAGCTGTTTAGAAAACTTCGCGGGACAAAACTTTTGGAATTTTGGATGGGAAATGCAGAAGAATGAAAGCGAATTTTTATCACGAGCTGTCAGTAGAAATGGGAAATAAAATGGAACGTGGAACATCAACAACAGTGGCCACACAAACGTATGTTTTTGTGAATTGGTGGAGTGCGCTTCCACAACATCCCTCTGATTTCGATAAGAGGCACTAAAACCATTTTGAGGAGAATAGAAAATGCATAAAATTGAAACGTATGGCGCAGTTTTTCATCACAAAAGTTGGAAATATATAAGAAAATTCAAAATGATAACACCACATCTTGTTCGAAACGAATTATTTGGTCCAGAAACTGCTAAAATCAAGTTTTTAAATGCCACAGCTTGTGGTGCATTTCGGATAAGCATGACATTTTGAACTTGTGGTGCCAGAATCGAAATCCATCCACTGTTTTTGGAAACGGGTTGTATTTTCGCATACAAAATTGAACTGCAGCGAAGCTGGCCGGAGTTTTGCACGCTTTCCATTGTCGAACACGGATTCAGGCCCTCCGTTCTCGTTTCTTTTATAGAAAATTATGTAGAATTTGTGTCCACAAGAAAGTAGAATTTTGCAG